ACTCTCTCTCTCCTCTCCTCTCCTCTCTCTCTCTCTCTCTCTCTCTCTCTCTCTCTCTCTCTCTCTCTCTCTCTCTCTCTTTCTTTCTCTCTCTCTCTCTCTCAGTGTTCTTGCTTACAGACACATGACTAGACTGCTGGTAGCTCATCTGGTGAATATTGTAGAGCTCTGTCACACTTATCGATTCTGAATCTACTGGCTCGCTGTTGATCCTCGGCACCAGATCCAGCCCCAGTTTCCTGCAAACCAAGCAGCAATGTTAACTAAACCTGGGTATGGGGATGCATATTTTTTTTATAAATTCAAAATATTATTCGTATAATTATAAATGAAATTTTTATAAATAAATTTATAGACTCACAAACTATGCGAACTGGAGAAAAACATTATACGAATAGCTGGAGAGAAGCAACCACCATAGGAACATGAGTTGCATCACAAATCGCCATGGCAACGACTTATCCCTCCAACATCAATTCGCAACCCCACGCATCTACTAAAACGCTTAACGACCAACTAACAACGAATAACGAGACGAGACGTAATGACGCTCACTTGTTTCCCCAGTCGATCTTGACCGTGATTCGCTGCTTGAGGTCGCGAACTTGGTCCTGCGTGAGCGCGCCCCCTATCAGCTCCCGCCGCCAGTCGACCAGCTCCAGCATCTGCTGCCGGATGATGCGAAACAGCTCCGTCTTCCGTTTCTACGGAAACAAGGAGAGACGAGATGAATCGCGCGTTTCCGCCACCAGAGGGTGCTGCGCTCTCACGTCGTCGCGGGAAAAAAAATTCTTTTTTTTAATTATTAGTTTTTACGCCGCGAGAAAGATCGTTTAGGCCGATCTCATAGCAATTAACACATTCGTTAACATTTAATTTCATTTACGTAACTAATATAACTGGTATAATGGTTGAATTAATGAACTAATATATGAGGGTTTCGATACCAAGCGATAGCACAAGATGTGGACTCTGCAAAAGATTATACTCCTATTTAATTTAGGAATGAAAGTGTCAATCACATCTAATTCAGGTAGTGCAAGTCTTACCTAGATACAATTTATATTAAAGATTATTAACTTTGATAACCTTTAATATAAACCTTATAATATAGCCTTTACAGCAACATTTTTACTTTTTATACGTAATCTACTTCTTCTGTTCCATTTAATTATGTAAAAATTTCACTAACATGCCTGTATGCTGGTTTAACATTGATGCTGTACTATGAAGGCAGGGATCCGTATAACTAGCTAACTAGAGCCACCATGAGTCATCAATGATATTAGCTATAATAGCATTATATGGGTAACGAGATTAATGGACGGATACTTGTCACGTATTGATTAGGCCTCCTCTACTCCCCTCTTTCATGCCCCTCCTCCCCTCCTCTCCTTCATTCCCCTCCTCCCCTGCCTCTCCCCGCCTTCATTCCCTTCACCTCCTCCCCCTCCCCTCCCCATGTTTCCTGACTGATCATGTGATGTATGGCATGACTATCGCGCGCGCATGCGCAACACTCCCGTTTCCGTCCGGCAGAGAGAACGTTCTGAGAAGCACCAGTGAGGAACGTCGACTGAGGTTTTTCTAATTATTACGTATGAGGGTGTGGTGCGTGCGCGTGTGTATGCGCGCGTGCGTGCGCGTGTGCTCGCGTGCGTGTGTGGTGCGGTGTGGTGTGGTGTGGTGTGGTGTGGTGTGGTGTGGTGTGG